TATAAGTTTAATACTAAAACATTATTATATTAATTAAAACATTTAATAATATTTCTCAACATTTAAGTAGTACGCAATACATTTTTACTCTTAATAATCATTAATATATATATATATATATATATATATATATATATATATATATACCTTTAGAAAAAACTATTTTTTTCTTTTTCAATTTATCATAATCAAGATTCTGATTTTATTATACAACTTAAACTTGTTATGTTAAATCCCACATTTTTAATAATTATTAATCTGATAATTACTTAATTATTTAATATTAATTTATTTAATACTTTAAAGCATTAGATATCCAAAATCAAAATACATGAAATAACTTATTAATATGATAATCTCATGACAAAGATAATATTTATTTTAGAATTTCTTATATATAAGTAATATTAATTATTTTCATTAGAAAATCTTATTTAAGTTAAATCAATTATCATTAAAATACATATAATATAAATTAATAAATAAAATATATTAATATTCTTCTAATATATATATATATATATATATATATATATATATATATTTTATCTGAATTATTAATATCGTATGTATGATGAAAAACCTTTGAATTATAGTAAAAAAAAATTCATTATTATAATGGAAAAGTTTATAAAAATAATTATTATATTAAATAATATAATTTTGATAAAAAAATTTAAAACGAAAATGTTTTAAATGTAATTGTATCTTGATACCATTTTTTTTCTTTTTCAATATGGTATTCTTTTGTGAAAAGAAAGGGAAAATGCTGAAGATGTTCACCTTGACCCAACTATGTATATGATGCTGGATCATTAATAAAATGCTACAACTTTTTTTTTCTTATTGTGATTGGTGCTTTTAATCTTTTAGCCTGTCTGGCGTCCTGTTGGGCTTAATGCTTGTTTTATGTATGCGGTTACAAAGGGCTAAAGGATGTATAACATTACTTGCTTAAAGGCTTGGTAGTCGTGGCAGATTCAACAAGTTATACAACTTGAAGTTGTGACCAAAATAGAAGTGGTGAAGTCAGGATGGTCAGGGATGGAAAATTTGTCTAGGTCCGACAGATGATTCGTCTACCCATTTTTAGACCGGATAAATTGGTAGTTTTCAGTTTGGTTGATTCTGCCAAACTTATCAATTCAACGACTCAAATGACAGGACACAATAGGACGGATAAACAAGTTCATCTATTTTTAAAATATATTTATATATTAAAATAAAAAAATTATAATTAAAAAAATTATATTTTTTATCATAATATTAAAATATATAAATATATTATAATATTATAATTTAAACTATAAATATTAATTAATTAAATTTATATTATTAATTATAATTAATTATTTTAATATATAAATATAATAATTTTTTAATTTATCTTGAGAAACGGAATTGTAACTTATTCTCATATGTACTAACCCATCTCACCGACATATTAAAAATGATACACATAAAACGAAATTAGACTGAATTGACCGTTTTGCCAAGAATGGTAAAGCTTTATCACGTTTACTCTGAAACTGTTTTCTGCTGTATCTGGTTCTTGTTGTCCCTTAATGTTTTTGTGCTCGACGTGGCTTTGGCCATGGAATGGGTGGTAGTTTTATCAGAGATTAGATTTTTGTTATATAATTGAGAGGTAGTAATTACGTATAAGAGACTAGCCATGTAATGTTTTAGTATGTGAGATTCTGTGAACTGTTAAGGAGGAGGTTTGGCTTTGGTTTACTTCTGGTTTGGTAGGTGTTGTACCTTTCATGGAATTTTCTTTTTTCTGATAAAGAAAACTAAAATAAAGACTAATAAAAAATTATTAATAAAATATTAAAACAATACAAACATAATTGAAAGAGCGAAGTGTAAGTATCACCTCTGGCTCAAATGAATATAAGTGCCTTGTCTCACGTTAATCATCATAATTTTTCAAAATTGACTAATAACTTTTTATTAAAAATAAAAAATCTATTTTTATATGTAGCATTATCTTATATAAAAAATTATACTGTTAATCAATAAAAAAATGCCTTTAATACGAACACGAGTTGAAGTATTTCCTTTTAATTTCATCACACGTTCTCATTTGTATTAAATTTCAAGGTCAGGAAAAACGAAATCTCATTTGTTCATGATCATTATTCTTTTTAATCTTCGTTGTTTAGAGGAAGATGAGACAGATATGTCACTGATGAAGACGAAGGAAGAAGGGGTACATAAAGTCAAGATGGGTGTATTAACTAAACAATTGCTTGTTCTATTAAATAATAATAATAATAATAATAATAATAATAATAATATATATTATTATTGTTATTATTATTATTATTATTATTATTTAAAATTTGCTGAGTCAACTAACGTTTTATTTAATACTTGTTTGTACGAAATTCAAAAGTTTTATATTTTGGACAGAACTGGTTCAAAATTAGGATTTCTACAGAAGTTTATTTCGTGGCAACTTTGTAATTAACAACATTTGAATTAGGAATCATCTTAGATTTCTCCTGTATTCAACTGCCTATGTCTTGATCATCTTGTACATTTATATAGATTGATATTTAATTTTTAATGATAATTATGAAGTATCAAGAGTATCTCAGTCTTATGTCCGTTATAATAACATCATTAGAGTTAATTTTCATGTCCGAGGTGTCCACTTTGAAACTCTCAGGTATGGTCCTTAAAAGGCGTCTCGGTGGGTTGAGAGAAGAGAGTATATTTAAACTACCCTCAACTCCTAAACGATGTGAAATTCAGAAAGGCCCCACGGTGAGCACCTCACGATGTGCACTAATGTTTCGATTAAAGATCGAGAGTGTCCTATGTCATATATGTTATGATAACATCATTAGGATTAGGGTCAATTCTCACGTCTGAGGTATTATTCGTTTGGTAGCTCTCAGTTATTGTCTTTAAAAAGCGATGTGAGACTCATGAAGGTCCCACGGTGAGCGCCCCACAGTAGACACTAATGTTCCGATTAAAGATCGAGTGTCACGATATCATGTTCACTATGATAACATCGTTAGGGTTAGGGTTATGGTTAATTCTCACGTCCGAGGTATTATCCATTATGGAGCTCTCAGGTATTGCCTTAAAAAGCGATGTGACACTCATGAAAGCCCCATGGTGAGCGCCTCACGATGGGTACCAATATTGATTAAGGATCGAGAGTGTTCCAAAGTCATGTCAATTATGATAACATTGTTAAGGTTATGGTCAATTTTCATGTCTGAGGTATTGTCCGTTTTGAAGCTCTCATGTATTGTCCTTAAAGAGCGAGGTGAGGCTCATGAAGGTCCCACGGTGAGCACCCCACGGTGGGCGGCAATGTTCCGATTAAGGATCGAGAGTGTCTTGACCTCATGTTCGCTATGATAACATCGTTAGGTTCAATTCGTACGTCCGAGGTATTGTCCTCTTTGAAACTCTCAGGTATTGTCCTTAAAAAGTAATGTGAGACTCATGAAGACCCCACGGTGAACGTCCCACGGTAGTCACTAATGTTCTGATTAAGCATTTGGGTCAATTCTCACGTCCGAGATATTGTCCTCTTTGGAGCTCTCAGGTATTGTCCTTAAAAAAACAATGTGAGACTCATGAAGGCCCCACGGTGGGTGCCAATGTTCCGATTAAACATTAGGGTCAATTTCCACGTCCGAGGTATTGTCGTTTTTGGAGCTCTCAGGAATTGTCCTTAAAAAGTGATGTGATTATGAAGGCCCCACGGTGAGCGCCCCACGATGGGTTTCAATGTTCTGATTAAGCGTTAGGATCAATTTCCACGTCCGAAGTATTATTCTTTGTTGAAGCTCTTAGGTATTGATTGTCCTTAGAAAGCAATGTGAGACTCATGAAGACCCCACGTTGAACGCTCCACGGTGAACGCCAATGTTTAGATTAAGCATTAGGGTCAATTCCCACGTTGTTTCGATTAAGCGTTAGGATTAATTTCTACATATGAGGTATTGTCCTCTTTGGAGCTCTCAGATATTGTCCTTAGAAAGCGATGTGAGACACATGTACGTCCTACGATGGACACCAATGTTTTGATTAAAGATCGAAAGTATTTTAGCATCATGTCCGCTAATTAGGATCAATTTCCACTTCTGAAGTATTGTCCATTTTGGAACTCTCGTCTGTCACGGTTTTGTCCTTAAAAGATATCCCGGTGGGTTAAGGGAGGAGAGTGTATTTAAATTACCTTTGATCTCGACTTCTAACTGATGTAAGACTTCCTGAGCGTACCAGAACCATAACGATATCATAAACTAATATTCATCTTAACATGATCATAGCTTGGTTCTCTCTTCTTTTTCTTGCAAATGAAAATAAATTCTTGTTTACTCTATCATGTTGTATTATCGGTGTGTTTTACATTTTATTTTTCATTATTAATTTTCCTCATTGTGGCACTGATTAAACTACTAAGTACTTCACCTGAGTTTATAGAGTGATATATATTAAGAACATGAGCTGTTTGAAACTTTCAAATGCTTCCAAACAACAAATAGTATTAGTTTTATCAAACCAATATCGTAAAATGATTAACTATCAAGAAAGTGATATTTCGGATTGACTGATCGAAAGAGATGTGTTGATGTACATTTTTTTTAATACTAACTTTTAACCTAATAATTTTATGGTTGACTTTCCATTAACAAACCCCATGGACTAAATCAATCCATTACAAATTCTTTTCTCGCTTTCTTATACATTTCCAAGTAAACTCTAGCACGTTAAGTATTTCATTAATGCCTTGATGAACGTTTCTTTCCCCGAATAGGTCAATTCTTAGTCCCGGTCCACCATGCAATCGTTATGATAAAGCATAGTATCGTCCTTCATCTCTGTATATATATACAAAGGGGTTGTAGCAACACAAATAAATCCCCATAACCCTAGAACATTGGTTCTCTCCTAGTTTACTAGCTAGTGAATATTGTTATCAATTAGCCAAAGATACAGTACTCACCATCCGTTGCATGATATAAATGGCTTTCTATAAGCATTTCTCAGTTGTCCTCTATGCCTTTGTGTTTGCAACTTTTGCAACAACAGCATTTTCATCACTGTCACCTGATTACTATGACTACTCGTGCCCTAACGCTTTGAGCACCATCAGAAGTGTTGTAGAGGCTGCGGTGCAGAAAGAGAAACGTATGGGAGCTTCTCTACTGCGCTTGCACTTCCATGATTGCTTTGTTAATGTAAGACTTTCTGTATTTGCGTGTATACACGTGTATGTACGTTTGTACAATATATTACTAATAAGTTTTAAGTAGATATATGACCAAATATTTTTATAAAAACATTATATATATATATTGGTTTTCTAATGGTAACTCAACAGGGTTGTGATGGTTCAATTCTACTAGACCCTTCACCCACCATTGACAGTGAAAAGAATGCACGGCCAAATTTTAAGTCTGCAAGAGGATTCGAAGTGGTGGACGAGATCAAGCAAGCTGTAGAAGCAGCATGTGGAAAACCAGTTGTTTCTTGTGCAGACATATTGGCTGTTGCCGCTCGTGACTCTGTCGTTGCAGTGAGTATATTACTGCAACAAATTCTATAATATTTTAGTAAAGTCTATATTTTTCCAATGCTTTTGATATTTGAATTGATTTGGTCAATTTATAGTTTAACTTTTTATATTATTCGGTTACCATGTCAAACTAATTTAATAGTTTGATTTATTGGTTTCCTAACTTAGCAAGTGATATTCAAATATATCTTTACACCAATGAAAAGAACTGCATACGTTTTTTACTATTTCTTCGTTCTCCTGTTTTCGTTATGTCAAAGATTGTAACGTGAAAGTAAAATTAAGCGTCATATTGGTGTATATACATTACAAAATAATAGTTGTTCTTAGTAACATGAAAGAAAATTGATTTTAACAATCATGTGTTTACGCTTGTAGCTAGGGGGCCCAACATGGGAAGTGAGACTCGGGAGAAGAGACTCTACCACAGCAAGCCGTGAGGCAGCAGATGCAAACATTCCAGCACCATTTTTCAGTCTTTCTGAACTCATAAACAACTTCAAGAGCCACGGCCTTAACGATAAGGACCTTGTTGTTCTCTCTGGAGGCCACGCAATTGGATTTGCAAGTTGTGCTACCTTTAGGGACCATATCTACAATGACTCCAATATCAATCACCGTTTTGCTAAAGAACTTAAGTACATTTGCCCTAAAGAAGGAGGAGACTCCAACCTTGCTCCTTTGGACCACACAGCAGCGCAATTTGATTCAGCCTACTTCTCTGATTTGGTTCACAAGAAAGGGATTCTTCACTCCGATCAAGAACTCTTCAATGGTGGTTCTACTGATGCATTGGTTAAAAGATATAGCCAAAATTCCTTGGCTTTCCACAAGGACTTTGCTAAATCTATGATTAAGATGGGAAACATAAAGCCTCTTACTGGAAATAAAGGGGAAATTCGTTTGGACTGCAGGAAAGTGAACTAATCCATTACAAAACTGAAGCATCAAGTATATGTGTAGGTTCATGTAGGAAACAGTATTCAAAATTGTTTTGCAAGAGTTTGAATTTATTATACAGTAATATAACGTGTGTACATGAATACTTTATGATTCTGTTAAATAAAATTGAATGTCAAATAATATTTTTATTTAAATGTTAGTTTGAATATTTTGATTGAGTAGATATTTTAGACCATTAACATATGATTCTATATAGTTAATATTAACATTTTAGAAAGTTAAAATTACACTTTTTATATAACTATATGTATTATTTGATATGCAGAGGGGCAATAATATATATATATATATATATATATATATATATATATTACATAAATTTTTATTGTAAAAAAACTTATGTTTAAGTGTTTGAACATAAGAGAGTTTAAGAAGAACAATGGTCGGTCTAACAAAGAGTTTACCTTTGTCCTAATTAATAGATAATTAATTATAACAATTAGATTTTTTTATTTGAAAGTTTTGTAAATTTTAAAATAATTGGAAGGTGGTCGAAGATGGTTTTAAAGAACGGAAACACTATAAATAATATAATAGCCAAAATAAAGCATCGAAAGAAACGTGTGATGACAAAGAAATGGAAGAAGTTAAATATTATTGTTTTCTATGGTCTTAAATTGAATGATACACCTTGATATTTATAGGTTTAGAATGAACTTTGTTTTTTAACTTTCCATCAAAATAATAACCGTTTAGATTTGTAACTATCCAAAATATCTACAAAATCAAAATATTTTATCCAACAAAACTCCTTCATAAAATTAAATATTTTTCAGATAAGACCAGTCAAACACTAATTTAACCCTTTCTTCAATCTGAAATCGGTCATAAATCGATTTGACCAACCTAAGAATTTTTTGCATCCTTCATCCCTCTCTTCGTTTTTTCTTCTCTGCCTGAGCTTGGTTAAATGTCAACCTAAACTGATATTGGACGTCTTATTTTGTCCATCTTGATGTTTAAATTCATGGCGTCGGTGTAAATTATTATTATTATTATTATTATTATTATTATTATTATTATTATTATTATTATTATTATTATTATTATTATTATTATTATTATTATTATTATTTTAAGATTCTTCATTGTCCATCTTGATGTTTAAATTCATGATGACGTTTTCATTATTATATTACCATGTTGATAATCGTAGTCATGGTTCTAAATTGCAATTACAATTACAATTTGCGGCCACAATATAGTTATTGCGGTGTCCTGCAACTAAAATGGTCGTAATTGCGGCGTGTTTTAAATCACATAATTTTCTATCTTCTATTATTAAGAATCCCATTTTTGAACATATAATTCAATTCGATTATTCCATACACTTAACACTAGTTTATCAACGTTTAATAGTTATTCACACAATCAAAGAAGAGAGTAAATACACACTTATCAAATGATAACCCATAAATGCAGAATTAATTTTAGCCTTCGTATTTCTAATACAGAGCTATATATAAGCGAATACTTCATTTATTTTCCTTCAACAGTTAACTTTCCTGCAGTTAACACGAATTTCACCTTGATGGCCAGTAAGGGGTTGAATATTTCCCAACTTAATCATGGAATTCCGGAAGTCTGCGAAAAAAGCTTGGGTATTGTAGCTGTACTGTTTGACAAGTGCATCGGTAGAACCACCATTGAAGAGTTCTTGATCAGAGTGAAGAAGCGCTTTCTTTTGAACCAAATTAGAGTAATAGGCTACGTCAAAGTTCGCGGTTGTTGAGTCCAAGGGTGCAAGGTTTTCGTCACCACCATTTTGAGGGCAAATGGATTGGAGATATTGTGCAAAGTTAGGATCGATGTTGGAGTCGTTGTAGATATGACCCCTAAAGGTAGCACAATGTGCAAACCCAATGGTGTGACCTCCAGAAAGAACAACAAGATCCTTCTCATCAAGACCATGGATCCTGAATGAGGTGATGAGTTCAGAAAGACTTAAAGTTGGGAGTGGAATGTTAGCTTCTGCTGCTGCACGACTTGCTGTGGTGGAATCTCTTCTCCCCAGTTTTACTTCCCAGGTTGGCCCCCCTAACTGCATGGTGCACGCGCATAATTATTTTTCACAAATCACTACTAGTCATATATATGTTATAACAAAAACATTTGTGCTACTTAGCATGAATAAGGATATATATGTACGAATTTGAGTAAGAGAAACTTACATACACTACTGAAATATAATACAAAAAGACAGAAACAAAATTCACCTCCTTTAAAGATAAGTAATAAAAGGAATGTGCAATGACTTTGTATAACAGATGAGATAAAAAAACTAAATAAAACTACTTTATGGATTTTACAGCTTTTTCGCAATATTTTGAAGGATAAAATAATTATATATTAATGTAAAACAGTATGTGTATATTAAACGAGAATATACTCATATTATATGCTATATTATATTTTATATTATATTATATTATATATATAATTCTAGAGAAGTAAAGATGAGAGTATATTCTCGTATTCTTATATTTGCTAGCTAGCTAACAGGTTTAAACAAGTATTCTCTATCACTCTTCATTTTGAAGTTTATAAAGTACTTATATTTATTTTACTTCATATTCATATTAGATTATTTGTATGTCTTATCTTATTCTTAGAAATGGAAAGGAAAATATTGAGTTAATAATATTTTTTAATTTATTATTATTATTAAAACTGAGTTACCAATAAGTTATAAAGTAAAAATTGATTGTCAATAAATAGACTTCTAAAAATTAACTATCATTCTATATCCTTTTTTTATTATATTAATAAAACTGAGTTGACAATAAATTATAAAGTACAAATTAATTGTCAATAAATAGACGTTTAAAATTATCATTCTATATCCAATTTTTTTTAGTTCGGAGTGATTACATGCCAATGTTTATTAGAATAGTATTTTGAATATAACAATTTAAGAGTATTACACTCGAAAGAAAAAACGGCAAGGAGTAAGGATATGTGAACACATGACAACACTGTCTAATGTCCTTAAGTCTCTCTCTCTCTCTCTCTCTCTCTCTCTCTCTGTCTCTATATATATATATATAAATTTGGTTAGAATATGGCATGTCTTAATCACCATAAATATATTTTAAATCTGAGAATCCTCCAAAGTTATTCGAACTTAGTTGGTGAGGTCCTAGAAAATAAAATTATATACTGTTACGTTTCTCTAAACCATTTAGTTGCCTTTTGACTTTGGCAAGTTGTCGGAAAAGGGATAAAGAATACATTTCATCGTTTACTCCATCCCTACCCTATAACTAATACATATAAATACTTCACTACCGATCAATCAAATTCAAAATGGTGTAAGAATAATAAAAATATATATGTATATATTTAAATATGTTTTTAGTACAGATAAATATAGCTATATTTTATTATCATTTATCGTGGCCTGATTGTAAGAATTAAAAAAAAAAATTCATCATTGTTACATGGTTAGTAAAAAAAATGTTATAATATCCAGGAATATAAAAATAAAAATTGATATGTTTGAAACCATATAATATAACAAAAAGTTGATAATGATATATTGGTGGGATAAAATTAAATACTAGGGTTAAATGTTAATTTGGATTTAATAGATATTTATATTGGTTTTGGATATTTTGATTAAACAAATATTTTAGACAAAATTACTGGGAAAACAGAAAGTCTATTATAAATTTATAAATATCCAATTATATTATTCAATTTTTTAAACTAATTAAACAATAATATTTAGTTTTCTTCATCTCTTTATTATCATAAGTGTAGCCAAAATAAAAGATGAATAGTACAAGAAAGATTAAAAACAAAACATATATATTTTTTAAAACAAAGTATTTACCAGACTTCAAACATATTAAAAGTTAAAATTAGTAATATTTGAGTAATTACTCACCGCAACAACAGAATCACGAGCGACAACAGCTAATATGTCTGCACAAGAAACAACGGGTTTTCCACATGCTGCGTCCACAGCCTGCTTGATCTCATCCACCACTTCGAATCCTCTTGCAGACTGATTGTTTTGCCGTGCATTCTTTTCACTGTCTATGATGGGTGAAGAGTCTAGTAGAATTGAACCATCACAACCCTGATGAATCACCATTACAAAAATTACATGAGAAACAGAAATTTTAGAGAGAAAATCAAATAGTGGGAACAGTACGTATAAATTACTAATTATTAATGTTAAAACATTATGTGAACATTAATTAATTATTATTTTTTAAATTTATTATTTAAGGTACATATATATCTGATTGTATAACCTAGATGAATATATAGACACATGCATGCAGAGTCTTACGTTAACAAAACAATCATGGAAGTGCAAGCGTAGCAATGAAGCGCCCATACGGTTCTCTTTCTGCACTGCAGCCTCTACCACACTTTTGATGGTCCTCAAAGCATTGGGGCACGAGTAATCATAGTAATTAGGTGACAACTGAGAGAAACCTAAGGTTACAACAGTTGCAAAAACAAAAGCATGGAGAATAACAGAGAAAAACCCTCGCGATGCCATTCTATTAGTAGCAATCTGCAATGGCTGATAAATGTTGAAACCTATATCAGGTTTTGGAATCTATTTGATTTTCTATTGCCTGCTTTGTTGCATTTATACTGGCCATGGGATGTGCGCTGCAAAATAAAAAATACCATATTTATTGGTGGTTCTTAAAAATATATGCAAATGAACTGCACCATATCATACCTTGTGATTTGTGGACTGAGCCTTTGAAAAGACCGTTTCACCTCAACGAAATCTTCATTGTCGGTCATGGATTAGGAGTTAAGAAATTGATCCTAAAATAAAGAATGCTTCAGTGATTGATCTAGTCCAATGTGTTAGCTGATAATTGATATACTTACGCCAACCACAACGAATAATGACAAAATTATGTAAACTGTAATAAGGGAATGGGCATTGGATGCAGTCTTTACGATTAAATTAATAGAAAATAGTTTTGATG